GCCACTTCTCACAGAGATGGCACTGTTTTTATCACTATGTTTTGTATTTCTTCCCCTAGGGCAACATGATTTTTCTATTTCATCAGAAACAACAATTTTCCCTTAGGGAAAGGAGGAAAACACAAATGACGAACCTGAAGTCAAAAAGAATAAAACTTTAAAAAATTATTCTAAAGTGAGATTATGGGCTCAGCTCCCGTAGCTCAGTGGTTAGGGTGTCAGCCACACACCGAGGCAGGCAGGTTCGAACCTGGCCAGGCTTCCTAAACAACAATGACAACTGCAACAACAACAACAACAAAAAAAACAGCCAGGCATTGGGGCGGGCACCTGTAGTCCCAGCTACCTGGGAGGCTGAGGCAAGAGGATGGCTTAAGCCCAAGAGTTAGAGGCTGCTGTGAGCTGTGATGGCATCACACTCTACTGAGGGCAGCATAGTGAGACTCTGCATAAATAAATAAATACTCATGATTCTGTACTCTACCCACACATCACCTCTTTACCAGAATAATTTGTGCCTTCTAGTAGTTTTCTAGACTCACCAAGGGACTTTCCCATATTAGTTTTTCTGGTGAATCCAACGGATAAAACTACCCTGACGATTTCTAGGAACTGATGAAACGTACTTGTACGTTGGGGGTCAGAATCCACTATGAGACAACTAGTCTACAGTTTGTTTCCTTATTAACGATACCATAATTTTTACCCTGGGCAAGTAAAAATCTGAAAATGACAGTTCTTCCTTTTTTTTTTCTTTGCACTGGACTTGCTTTAATTAAACCGGCATGATTTAAAACGTCTGAGAGTTCTAAATAACTTATGATAAAATAAAAAGATAAATCTTACTTTTAGCATGCTAACAAACTTTAAGACTCACAAATTTTGAGTCATGTAGAACAAGTAATTTTTCCCTTATTAAAAAATTCTTTAAGTTATCATTCACTAAAACTCCACTACACACTTGACATACATGATCTCAATCTTTATAGGAATCTCCTAAGAAAAATGTATTTATCTGCATTTTATCCTCAAGGAAGTCAACAGCCCATAGAGCACCCGGACGGCTGAGTGCCAGGCTTAAGGATCTAAGACTAAAATCCTAGCTGTAATTATTAAGTAAATCTCAACACATATGGATTCTGATGGGATGGCACTCTATCTGAAACCCGAAATTTCCAGTGCTGAGGGGAACAGGCAGTGCATGTGAATGCTGCATGAACAAAAAACAGGGTCAGAACCCCTCACTACAGCACTGCCCATCCTGTCTTCACAGCCTAATTCAAAAAACAAAACAAAAAACTTCTCTCTCTCTCTCTCCCCCCCTTCCCTACTCTCCAGCACAACACCCCACCCCCACATCCCCACGCCCAGTTTTACTCTGACTTTGAGGACAGTGTTTCTGTGGTAGAAACCTCCAGTGGTACAATGGCTGGGACAAGGATGCTTATGGCCGATTATAGATTCTAGCTGGTTTAATTTCCCCCAAATTCAACTACAATGTATAAAGTTTTTTCTTAATGACATAAGATAATCTTCAAGATCATTCCAGGCCTCACATTCATCAGAATAAATAAAATTCTTACCCTTGTTTCTTTCCCTCCACTCCTCCCCCATTACTATCCTTGCTTTTGTTTTAATCTTTGGGCAAAAAAAATAGACTACAAAGCAAATCTTTGATTTGATCATTGCTACAGTCAAAATTAAAACCACCATATTGATCCTCAGTAACATTCAATAAATTTATCCACTCATTGTTTTTAATCTTTTTCTACACTAGATGAACGAAACCAAAACATAATTACGAGATCTCTGAATGCTAACTCAGCAATGAAGAGACCAGTTCTGCCAATTTCTGCTTTGTCCAATCCTGTCATGTAAAAGTCCCTTAAGACAAGGTGAAATCCTAAGGCCTTCTATAAAATCACCTCTTAACAGATAAGAACTATTAGTTCTAAATGCAATGGGAAGTGTTTTTAAATGGCAACAACAACAAAACACATAAAGCAAACTATTTCCATCTTTGGGTCAAAGACCAGTGATTTGTCTTACAAATCAATTTAATCTGTACCCTACTGGATAGGACTAGTTCAAAGTTCATAAACCTACCAAGATGATGGAAGAACAGCCTGATTTATCATGGAGGGTCCTCTTCTAGGCCAAGGGATTATCCAAAAACGGGCAGGTAGAATTATAAATCTGGATTCCTGTCCTGCTCAATTATAATAACTAATTATTGTTTAACAGAGCAGCTCCCTTTTTAGCCAAATAAGACAGAATTGTCTTTTACATGGTTTAAAAAAAAAAAGACAACTTTTCATAATGCTGACATTCTGTGGCAGAATTTCCTAAAGGATAATCCACCCAATAAAATATATAAAAGCACTTTAGATAAAATTATCAAAACTGACATTTCACTAGCACTTTAGATAAAATTATCAAAACTTCATCCTACCTGAAGGCAGCCCATGGAGAAAACCATTCCATGAGTTACTCCATTTCCCTTCCAGAGTGACTTTCAAAAGATCAGCCAGCTGTGGCCAAGTCCATTTCCTTTTCCCCATAAGCACAGAACTCAATGACATTTCCCAGCCTCCCCCAAGTTAGGTGTGGTCCTGTGACTAGCTCCTGGCTAGGGGAATATGGACAGAAAGAATGTGATTTCTGTCTAAGCCTAGGCACATAAAAACTTCCACACATGACCTTCCCTATCACCCCACACTGACTTACAGGGGTTGAGCACAATCAGGAGTGGAAGAGAGAAGAAAATAAGATAGAAGGAACTTGGGTTCCTGAATCAGTGTTTGGATCAGGGCAACCAGGCAGCAAGAAACAAATTTCTATTGTGTTTGAGTCATTATACACGGGAGGGGCTACAGCAACTAACATTGTATTAACGAAACAAAATACACTGGGCAACCCCACATCAAGATTAGACTGATTTGGAACCTAATTTTCTAGAATTAGCAACTGAGGTAAGAACAGGACATACTGGAGGGAATCTCTAGTTACATACCAACAAGGTTAACACCTTATTTGGGCACAATAAATCAATCTATTCTGGTATGCAATAAAACGTCTTCTGTTAAGAAACTGAGGTTGAGGAAGACACTTTGAATCACTCATCCTTCATTACCACATTTAAATGTATTAGCTGATATAAATCACCAAATATATGTGAGGCTCTTCCACACTTTCTTTGTGAAAGGTCATATAATTCGTATTAAAATACAACATGAGGCTTGGTGCCCATAGCTCAGTGAGTAGGGCTCCAGACATATACACCAAGGCTGGCGGGTTTGAGCGTGGCCAGGGCCTGCTAAACAAGAATGACAACCGCAACAACAACAACAAAAATAGTCAGGCATTGTGGCGGGCACCTGTAGTCCCAGCTACTTGAGAGGCTGAGGCAAGAGAATCGCTTAAGCCCAACTCTGAATTTACTGTAACACTACCATTGAAGTCATTTCACAGAGGTTACTAGCAATACAGTGTTTGTTCTTAACAGAGATCTAATATCGAGATGACCTTGGCACTCCCCTACAGAGGCTGTATGTGTCCTCCCGGATCACGACACGAGAGCAACAAAACATTCAGTGCTTCCCTTTTTTGCCCCATCAAGACACAAGCTCAAGGCCACATTTAGCTTGTTGCTGGCATTCTTCCTCCTCCTTTCTTCAGTCTTGATTTTGTTGCTATGACTTCACTGGATATTTTCACTGCAAATTACCTTCATTGCAAGGTAATTTAAGAGACACAGTATGAATAAATTCTACCAATTGAGGAAGGAAACTGGCACTCATTAAGTACCTGCTACGGGTCAGATAATTTCATACACTTAAGGCCATTTAATTTTTGCAACAATAAGGTATATTACAAATGAGAAATATGTAGATTAAAAAAATAATAAAACTTGTGAAAGACCATGCACCAAGGTAAATGACAACAAGATTCATGCCCAGGACACCTGACTCGAAACTCATTCTTTCCATTTCAAAACGCTACATTTGACCTGAAAAAATTACCACTTGATTTTGATTTCCTTTAAATATTCATTTCAAATTTCCATCCTTTGGCTTATACCTTATTCTCACATTTCCACAGAAATACTATCCTTTTTTATATCAGAGTAGGCTGTGAGGTGCAAAACTTGGAGAACTTAGGGAACAAGCCCAGGAAAGGAGGCCTACTCCAAATTATTCAGGTTTATCCCTGTCTCCCTCAGGAAATCACTTCTTTCTATAAAGTTTTGGTTTCCACAAGAATTATTTCAGAGTTAATTTCACCATATCTTAAGATTTCTAAAACACCATTTTAAAAGATAACTACATTTATAAGATAGGTATGTCAAAGAACTTAGAAGGAGCAGTCTGAATTTTCTTAGGGGTAAACAGGATACCACAACATTGATAAATAAAATAGCAAAATGCAGGGTCATAAAACTGTTCTTTCCCACTTAAAGACCCAAATGATGATCAAAGACAAATGATAGTGTTATATTATTATCACCACTATTTTAATGACATGATTATCTATTTACTTAGGATTCTTGAAAGTGTAGATAACCTAACTAACTAGCCAATATTATCAATTCTCAGCCATTTGTAACATGAAACCATAGGTGATGACTGAAAAAAATCAAAAGATTAATACTCTTAGGTTAGAATAAGTTTTAAATACTACTCATAAACCATCCTAAAATTAGGTGAGTATTGTTATAACTTAATAAGAAACCAGTTTTGAAGACAAAATCTCACTCAGAAATACTGTCTTATTTCAGTAGTATTTAAATTTCAACATCAAATACTTTCAGCAAAAATCTATTTCTATAGGTGACATTTAAGATGATAAAACTGTCAAAGCCAGCTTCTTTTGATCGCAAAGGTCAAAATATTTCTCCTTCATCTGAAAACCTGCTGTGCAAGTATTAGTGTCCTTAACATCCGCTGCTAGCATCTCAGTCACTGCTGCATAATGGAAGATGGCATTATTTTAAGCCTTACCTTCAGATAGGATCCATAATATTTGGTTACATATGGACTGTCGCACTGACTCAGCACTGTGATTTCTTGTTGAATGTCCTCTATCTCATCTTCAGCTTCTTCCAGATCAATGATTTTTATGGCAACCACTTTCTGAGTCCGATTGTCAATGCCTTTGAACACCTCACCAAAAGAGCCCTTGCCAATTTTCTCTAGTTTTGTAAAAAGCTCTTCTGGATCTGCTTTTAGGTTCTGTAGGAGAGAAGAAAAGAAGGAAAACTTTAATACCTCACGGTGCCATGACTGCTTTTTTGATGTATAACATTACAGATGACGGCGTTTCAGGGACTGGTCTGTTTTCCAAGTCAGAGACCATACTCTGGCTGTGACAACAATTCTTCAGGTTCAGGACATGAGATTCTCAGAGTCGCCTGCACGTGTGCTTTAGACGATTAAATGCAGCAAATGTGCAACAAGAACAATTACCCAGCTAGATGATTAAAAAAAAAAAAAAAAAGGAAAGGCTCCAAGGCTTTAGGATGAATAAAAGTCTATAAACACTTACTTGAATGTTAGGATATGTGGATTTATTGAAAAATCCCTCTTGTCCAAGCAAAAATTCCATTCTTATCCCCACCCTATCCCTCAAATTTCCTAAACTCCTGTATTTATTAAAACACAGGTCAACTAGCTGTATCATATAATGACCAAAAAAGTGTACTCTGTGTGTCTTCATTATAGCTCCGGCCTTCACCTACACAGTAACAATCTAAGCAGATCCCAGAACACACAAAGCAGTCTATATTCTCTGCATAGCTGCTGTGCCCTTGAAATAGTTTCTAACAGCTCTTTACTTCCAACCTGGTGACTGCACATCAAGCAGTCTACATCTCCAAGTAGTCTGGCTGTCAGAACTCCAGCTCCCATCCCAACAGCTGAGCTCCCTACAGAGGCAGTAAGTCATCGGTCACCCCTCAGGTCTGTCTGTCACAGAACAGAGGGGCAACACAGACATTTACAAGCCAAGCTAGGGATGCTACGACTCTCACCACAAGTCACTGCTCAGCCCAAAGTGCCAGTGGTGCCCCACGAAGTGGACCAGCCCAAAACCCACAGCACTTGAGAGGACTCGGGAGGCACCAACACTGCAGACACATCTTCCCTCAAAACAGGATGCCGGGACAACCCTCAGAACCAGCTGAAATTCTCAAGAAAAGGCCCTCAAGAGGGGGAAAGGAGGAGGAAGACTGAAAGGGAGGTAAAGAAAGAAGGCAAGGAGAAGGACAGGAGACACAGCAGGAGGCGCAGCACCGAGCAGCGAGGGACCACGGTCACCGCAGCATCGCAGCAACAGCAGCAGCTTCACAGCAGCTACGTGAGCTCCAGTGCTAACCAGGACTAGCCGCTCACTTGCAGCCCCAGGTGAGATGCCCTAAGTTCCAGCAACTGCTTCCAGGGGAACTGCTGAAAGCCAGTCAGCCCCTCTAATTCACAGGCCTTGCTGTGCCACTGCATGTCCACCAGGCACAGCACCCAAGAGGATGCAGGAGAGAACAGTCACTCAAGGAGGCAGAAGCCATGCCCATGTCTGAGACAGCACACCCAAGAGCAGAGCAGCTCATAAGACCCACCAACCATCCTAGTTAAAAACGGATGAAGATCTGTGCTGGACATTCATTACACATACAAAGCATGCCAGGGTCACCAACAGAAAAAAAAAGGACATGGCCAGGGATCACAAAAGCTATAGTTCTAGCCATGATTCTCCCTCCCCCCACACACACACCACATGCCAGTCACCAAAGCTAAACAAACATCTGCTTTTTACAATCGTAACCATTCAACTTCATCTCCACTTGAAGACCCGCCCCGAGCACATCTGGCTGATTAACAGAGATGTACTCTTTTTTCTTGAGGAACTGCTAAACTGTTTTCCATTGTGGAACTATGTTCCAAAGTGTCTTTTAAGACACAAACACTCTCTGGGAGCCTGGCTGTGTACCCGGCAGTCCAAGACCAAGACATCTGTGCCCAGCAGTCAGAGTCCAGGGTCAGCTGCCTAAGTGAGGGCTGTTTTCAGACCCAGTGGCAAGCCTACAATACCCTCCTCGGATTTTCTAGCTTGTCGGGTACTCCATTTGAGCACCCTCCAAAGTCATTTTGGGGGATGTCCTCAAAGAATGGCAGAGAATCCCAGGTGGGAACCTCACCTCCCACTCAACCTGCTCTCTCACCCCAGCTGCCAGGACTGGAGGCTTTCAGGGAAGAAAAAGATTTCCTTTTTAAGAACAATGAAATGTACTCCTTCCTTAGCTGTTTCTATGCCCTGCCCCTTACCTCCTTCCCTCCAGGGCAAGATGGGGTGGCCCTCCTTTTCCTCAAGGCCAATCCCAAAAGCGGAGCTCTGGAATCCATCCTCCTCTGCTCCCGTCCCAGCTCCCCCTTCATCACCACCTCTGCTGGCTCTGCCTTTGGCAACGTACTCAGGTTCCTCCCATTTAAAACAAACAGCAACACCGCCTGACCCGTTGGTCTCCTCCACTCTCTCCTTGCTCTGAAGTTCCCTGAAAGTCACCTGGACCTGCCCAGTTGTCCCCACAGCTGCAGCCCAGCCCGCTCTGGCTCCAGGCACCAATGCTGCAGTAGCAGGCCTGGAAGCCTCATCAACCACACCCTCCTCCTCCTCACTTTCCAGTCCTCTGGCATCTGCTGCCAACTTTCTGCTGCCTTCTTACAGTCCCCCAGCTTCCAAGGAATCTTCACACAGACCCCACAGTGCTGGCCCTTACTCCAGGACATCCCCCCAAGGCTCCACGCCCACTCTCTCTCCTCAGGGGGCCAGCCGATTTCAGGGTTGAGGGTCCTGTTTCCCAGGCCTGGCTGGATCACAGCGGACACTCTCACTCATATGGGACAGAGAGGGAAAAATAATCTACACTTTTACAACACACCAACTGATTCTGGGGATGAGTCGCCTTTAGGGGAAGAGCTTTAAATGATCACATAGGTGACTACCTTCACACTAGCTCCAGCCCTGCCTTTGAGCTCAACCTCTTAGGATGGGTTACTTGCTAGATCATCTCCTCTTTCTGTGCAGACATTTCAAGCTCAACATATACACACAGAATTCATCACTTCCCTGCTAACCTGGACTGACCTCCCCCCAGTCTGGGTCTGTCCCGCACCATCTCCTTCGCTAGACTGTAGGCTGCAGGAGTCTGGGGACACATGCTTGGGCACTGGAGTGGCAGGAGACTGATGGGCAATAAACATCTGAGTGATGAGAAAGCCCCAGGCTCACCTGGCACAAGCAGAGCCCAGGTCAGATGCAGCAGACCATCCTACCTCTGAGACTCGAGACCCTAGAAGGCCCAGCAAGGGCAGCATCTCTAAAAGAAAAGGGCAAGGAGCGATGGGAGAGGCCTGACTTCCAGAAACCAGGAGAGAGTCACCACCATTAGCACTCAGAAACAATGTTTCTCAAATCTCCTGGAAGGGCTTTCAGCTTGGAGGAGGCCAAGGTGCAACTCCGGTCATCCCTAATCTGGGTTTACCCAACACCAGCCGCCTAAATTCAACCCCAAGACCAAAGTCATGTACCTGAGGTGCACCAGTGGTGAAGCTGGTGCCACATCTGCCCTAGCCCCCAAGATCAGGCCCCTGGGTTTGTCTCCAAAAAAGGTTGGTGATAACACTGCCAAGGCAGCCAGTGACTAGAAGGGTCTGAGGATCAGAGTGAGACTGACTGTCCAGAACATACAGGCCCAGATTGAAGGGGTACCTTCTGCCTCTGCCTTCATCATCAAAGCCCTCAAGGAACCACCAAGAGACAGAAAAACATTAAACAAAAGGAAATATCACCTTTGACGAGACTGTCAACATTGCCAGACAGATGTGGCACCCATCTTTAAGAACCCTCTGTAACCATTAAAGAGATCCTGGGGATGGCCCACATTGGTGGGCTGCAATGCTGATGGTGGTGCTGCAGAATGCCCAGCTAGTTAAAAATCACTTGAAAAAATGTTTCAGTAAAGGATCATTTGACATTGTCCCCCCCAAAAAACCTTCCTGGAAGGCTTGCTAGACCACAAGTTGCTTGGCTTAAACCTGAGTTTCTGAATAGTTAATCTGGTAGGGACCCAAGGACAAGGGCATTCCCAGGGGTACAGATGCTACTGCTCCAGGGACCACCCCTGGAAAGCCACTGCTCAGGAAAATTTGGACAGGAGCCAGACAGCTTGACAAGGTGACATGCCACCAAAGCACGGCCTGGATGGGGTTAGCCAACCACCCCACCCCCAACTAAGAAAACAGTGCCATTTCCTTTCTGACCATTAATTTTAAATGTCCCTGATAAGACTTTAAGCCCTTAAAAAATTGTTGAGGACCACGTGGGAGACTGCTGCAAAAATAACTGCCAGTAAGTCCAACCTCTGGTCCACACCCCTGTGAGTGAAGGCAGCAGGCAGCAGCTCCAGCCCGAGTCTGGCAGTCTTGTTCCATGTTTCAGACATCATAAAGTGGGGGCTGCAGGCCCCTACACTCCAGCCCTGAGGGGGCTTGCAGAGCTCACTTCTCAGAACGGGAGACTGCAAGGCAGGAAAGGCCAGGAGTGAAAGACAGTGTGGTCAGAGAGATGCCTCAAGCCACTTCCTAGAGCCCAGCCAAGGTCCCAGTACGAGTGTGAAGTCACCTCAGGCCACCGGGTCTCAATTGTGCCACAAGCTGGCTGCAGAGCCCAGCACAGTCCAGCAGCACCATCCAGGCGACCCATAGACTTGTGGGAAACAGGAAGCCTGCTGTTCCAGCGCTAGGTCTTGGTTACTCAACAGACAACTGACACCAACACTGATGCTAGCAGCTGGGTGCTGCCCCAACAAAGGCCTGACAGCACATGCCCAGCTTGGGCATCTACAGCAGGACACTAAGCAAAGCAGGGTTGCCCATGCAGGTGGCCCTCCACACCCCTTAAATAGGAGTGCCTGGTGCAGCCACCCTCGCCTCGTGTGCTACTGTTTGTCAAGATGCTGCTCTGAAGGCAGAAAAGCCACAGCCAAGGAGCTAGCAGCCCACCCTACACAACCCTGATGTGTGCGGGGAGAGGACTCACAGCTGAGACCAAAGCTGTACGAGGAGGCAAGAGGGAGACGGGGGCAGGGGAACATGCCTTGTATATGTGTGAACCTGTGGGACTGGAGGGCAAGCTGACAGACTGTCACAACAATGGCTCCAGTAATAACCAATCCCATGTCCATAGCCGTGTGACTTTGCCTGCTGCTCTCATCAAAAAGCAGAGTCTGTTTTCCCACACCTTGCGTCTGGGCTACCTTTGCAATTTCCCATGACAGGGTACCATTTCCAAGGTTAAGCCTTAAGGGGCCTTTGTCACTTTCATTCTGCCCTCTTGGAAAGCTTCCCTCAACACAAGAGAGGACAGTCCTGGCCTGCTGGAGAGGCGGAGAAGAACCAAGGCACATTTAAACAGAGCCCCAGCCAAGTGTTGGACCAGCCACCCTTCTTCCCCTAGCTGTCCCTGATAGCCAAGCCCAGTCCCAGCCACACAAATGAGCTTCAGCCAGATCAGCAAGAAAACCCCTCAGTCATCCCTAGGAACAGTGAGAAATACATCATCCTTGTTTCAGGTCACCAAATGCTGGAGTAATTTCCTGCACAACAATGGTAATAGAGTTCAACAGAGGTCACTGTAGGAGAAAAGTGTACATTGGGTGTGGGCCCGACATTCTATACCCGGGAGAGGAATGTTGTATTTTGATGAATTGCCTGTTTTCCTTTCCTTGTCTAAAGCAGCTTGGAGAACAACTGTTTTCACTCTTTCCTTTACTATCTTCCCAAGAGAACGTTCCAGGAATCTGCCACCTGTACACTGAGTGGTCCTTGCTTGTCTCACATCTGCTCAAGTGTCCTGCATCCTTCAGAGTTCTTTGCCTCTGGGTCAGCAGTGTATACCAGGCTAAAACTGCCCTTGGCAAGAGGGAAGCCACCTACTACAACAGGACAGCAGGGCACTAAGCAAACCAGTGTTGCCTGTGCAGGCAGTCTCACCCTTCAGCAACTCTTGCATAAGTGCATTACCACACAGTGTCACACCCCTTGGCCAGAAGAAAATTAATGCCTAACATGACCTATTTCAAACAGGAACCCCAAGATTCTGCCAGAAAGTGTTCTCTGAGGAGTAAATCTCCCTAGCAGAAAAGGTGCCATTTTGCCAACTATCTTGAGAATTTCCTCTTAGCACTGGCCCTGGCCTCAGATTAGAAAGGCCTGCCTGCTCCTCAGCCCACCTATCCACTTCACCTGCTAAGACGCTGAGCCTGCAGCCTAGTCCCAGCCAGGAGTCAGGACACCACACAGCTCAGCCTTTGCTGAAGCAGGTGGAAGTCAGGACACAGGTACACCCCCGCCGCAGCCCAACATTCACCTCTAGCAAGTCACCTTTACTTGAGCAATGAGACTGGGGGGTGAGCATGGCACAGGATGCCACCTACACAAAGAAAGCAGCCCACTCCTCAGGCAAAGATTGCATCCCAAGAGAAGAGCAGTGCAGACACCATGGGCCACACAGGGTAGCATGCTGAAACATGGTTCTGCAGACAACTGTGAGGACAGAGGAGTGACCTCAAAGGCAAGGTCTGAGTCAAGTGTGCCCCAAATACACAGGCTGCACCAATGCCTGGGTGACTCTCTCACAAACAACTGACACCTGCAGATCCAAGGGACCCCTGCCTGAAAAGGACCAGGGGCACAGGCACTACAGGCAACTCTCCCCCCCAACCTCTGCAGATCAAGTCCACACATACCCCTGCCTGAGAAGGAGCAGGAGCACAGGCACTACAGGCAACCCCTGCCTCCATCCTCTGCAGATCCAAGTCTGCACGTACCCCTGCCTGAGAAGGACCAGGGGCACAGGAACTACAGGCAAACCTAGGAGGAGGAAAGACTAAATGCAATTCAAGGACCCTCAATACAGAAGACAAGTGACTG